AAGTATTTTTCAATAGTTGTCAAAATTGACATTGAAAATTTAAAAAAAGAACAATTGTCAATTTTGACAAATATCCAGTTAAAAGAAGAGAAATTCAAAAATATTAATCTTTTTGTTTGTTTGTAGATTGAGCATGTTGTGCTTGGAAAGGGACCTCCAGGTGGATCTTGGCACACGATGGATCCACAGATTTTGACGCTTTCGTTGGGCAGTTGGATGAGTTTGCCCGGTCTGAGGTACGAACCCAGGGACGGTTCGGAGAAGAGGGCGAGCGCAAAGCACGTCGCCGAATATTACGTGCGTTACGTGCAAGAGATGGGACTGCAGGAGAACTTCGAGAACGGAGTTATAGTCACGAGGATCCGACCCTGCTGCGAACCTACATCCAACTGCAACTCGATACCTGAAGGCGGATGTACAAAGGGCAAATGGGTGGAGAAGGTCAACAGCGACATCTGCCAGAAGGTCAAGCTGTGCTCGAGGCCCGAACCCAAGGAGAAGCAGTCGGCGAAGAGAAAGTGCGCTCTCGCAAACGCCTTCAACTACCTCATGTCCAGGTCGTCGGCGACGACTTCTTCGTCTTCTTCTGCAGCGAAAAACGATCTCGTCACCTACAGGGACCGATCAAAGTCTTGTGATAGCCTTAGAGTGCCTAATTTTAACTGTAGCAACAGTAGTAGTAAAAATAATAACAATAATAGTTCCACGCTGATGATCTGTGATCGAAAGAGGAGCCCCAAATGGTACGTCGAATGCTTCGATCTGAAGACGAGGACGGTGCGAGCGTACAGCTGCGATAACCTGGTGCTCGCGAACGGCTCCAGCGATCTGCCCAATCGATTATCGGTGGAGCAGACGGATCCTTACTGGCTCACGCACGACTCTAGAAGCCTCGAAATCGAACTGGATCTCTACACCAGAGAGTCGAGGAATCGAACCGTCGATCCGGTGGTCATCGTCGGTGCAGGTCTGAGCGCTGCGGACGCGATCATCGCCACCCGCTCCAAGGGAATCCCAGTGGCGCACGTCTTCCGCGGTACCTCCACCAATCTCAGTCGACAACTACCCGAAAACATGTACCCCGAATACCACAAGGTCCATCAGATGATGAAGGAAGACTCCACGTACCCCCTGTACGATGCCCTCCCCGAGCACTCTCTCGTCGGATTCGATGAGGTCCGTCGATTGGTCCGGCTTCGCTCGAACGATGGGAAGATCGTGGACCTGAAGGTCTCCTTCGTGGCCGTCCTCATCGGATCCAAACCGGATCTCAGCTTCCTCCCGGACGCCTACAACATTGCCACCAAGAAGCATCTTCCACTGGATTGCAAGAGGAACACCGTCAACATCGATCGAATCCGGCACTCGGTGAACGGCTTCGACGCTCTCTACGCGATGGGTCCACTCGCCGGTGATAACTTCGTGCGTTTCCTACCAGGTGGAGCACTCGCCATCCTCAGCGATCTCCATCGGAAGCGTCGCGACGCCATCGTCAAATGAATCTCAATATACCAAAAACATTCGCACATTCTACATACACACACCAAGTATTAAAGAGAAAGTCGAGGAGAATCGAAACCAATATTCCAATTTAAAACCAACAAAGCATTTCATCAGGCCAAGAAACAACAAACTCAAGAAGTAAATGTTACTGAAACAACAACAACAAAAGGATTCAAAGAGCGAGAGATCAACGCTCTAGAAAAAGTTCTGAAAGCCAACTTTGATGAGAATAAAAACAGTAGCTGTTGCTTGGCAATGGCCAAACAACAAAAAGAAAATCAAATGTTACTTCAAAAAAGACTAGCATAAAGAGAGCCCCAAACAAACGAAATAAAGCCTACTTAAGGAAAAATATAATAAGAAAAGCAGCTGTTAAAAAACGAATAAAATCAAAAATGAAGAGCAGCAGAAGACACAAGTTTAATTGTGTTTCTTTTTATATAATTCCCTTTTTTTTACTGTAAATATGTCTTTAAGTTTATACTTTTTTTTTCTATTTTATTATATTATTATAACAAGTTTCTTCTCAGTGCAATTTTATTCTTATTCTTATTAGTTGATCGTTCAGAGACTTGGGTTATTAAGATAATGATTGTTTATTATTAATTACTACTGAATTGATACACACATAATATATATATATATATACGCAAATATTTATTATACAGTTGTTATTAGGAGGTGTTGTTTGTGCGGATCTCAGAGAAACGTTCTTAATATTTTACCGAAAAACACACACGAGAATAAAAGTTATTTTACTGTTTGAGTTTTGTTTTCTATCTATTTTTTTAAATGTTTCCTGTACTGTTGTTGTTGTCAACCAACATTGATTGAGTTCATTGTTTTTCCACCGTTGACGTAAGTAAACTGATTTTCGATTGTTTTCCTTGGATGACACGAGAAAACTTGATTAAAACCAAATGTAGAAACATTTCACGATAAAGCAAAAAAAATTAACATAAAACAATAAATATTCTCAGAAAATCGTCGTTAATAATAATTAGAATTAAATTTATTTAAATTTGTTTGCTTTTCCAATTCAAATTTCCCAGAATTATAGGCAACCAATATTGATTGTCAAAATCAAATTTGACATAAAATCATATCAAAAGTTGTATATTGATAATCGTGATTAAGAAAATAAATTGAAAAATCGTATAAATTAATGATAAATGAACTGATGATGTATGAAACTTTAAATTTGTTGCGTATTTTTAAAATTTGAATTTGTCGAGTTGGGCAACCATATATGCACTGAATCCGCGCAACTTACATAACACGTTTAAATCGATATAGCAAATGTCATTTTTTTTTGTATAATAGTATTAATTGTACTAAATATCAATAATTAAATTAAAACTTTAAATGTATTGCTTATTACTATTTTTTTTAAATGTTACGATACAGGCAACCATGAATGCAATTGATTACCACAGGTTACAGAACGCGTTCAAATCGATAGCAGGAATGGCCACACTCTGTTCTAGAACTATGCAAATTTTGACCTGGAACAACGCGCAATTGATTTACTTTAATTTACCATTTGCGTTTTACATTTGCACGCAAAGTTTAATGAAATTTTCCGTTCTTAGGGTTTTCCAAGTCTTATTTTAGAACGAATTTGACCTTTCCGTAACTTCTCACCGTTGGACATATACATATATAAGAAGGCAGACTTTCGACTGTTTCTCTTTTGCTGACCATAAGAAGACGTGATCTAATACGTTCTGATCGAAACCAAATGTTACAAAGATTGCACTGAATTCAATTACAATTATGAAATCGTTAAAATTTGCAAAATCCAGTACAACCACACGCATTGATTTAATTCGCAAAGATGAAGAAAACCAACAGATGTACTAAATAATAATAAAACTATTACGATCATCGCTAAAAGATTTCACATGTAGTCAGGAAAGTTAAATAAGGAGAATACACAACGGATTTGCGTTTATTTGCATAATTTGTGCAAACAAAATTTGCACACAAAAAATATGTTTGATTGTTGACAGATAGGTTAGAACATCTGTCAAATTTTCATATAATTTTATTTAAATTTTCACCCTGTATATTTGGATGTATACGAGAAACGGTCGTAATAACGAAAACAGGTTTGTGTTTATTTATTTATTTTTTTTTGGGGCCAAATCCGAAAATGGAAGATACACACGGATTGCGGAATGATTTATGGTCCAAATTTGGGAAGCTGAGAAAGAATTAAATTATTTTTGGTGAAAGAAAGAGAGAGAAAGATACAGATTTCTCGCGTGTAAAATTGCATAACGCCCGTATGGTAAAATCGAAACACGAAAAGAAAGAAATAATATTAAACAAGGCGAAGAAAGTGGTGAATCGATGATGAGTCAGAATGTTCGTGCACATTTGCTGCGAACTAACGAATTTCGTCAATAATCGATGACATTTCTGGTGACATTTCGAGGGATAAACAATGGCGATGCGTGAAATGATCGAATCATCGTCGAAAATTTCGCATCCATGACAGCTGTCACGATGACAGTTCACATCATTAACATTGTAATAACGATGCTGATGTTGATGATGATGTTACGCTCGTCGTCTGGCAAGACCTAACAACTGTTAATTGCATGCATATCGTAATTAAGTCGAAAGAGGCGTTATTCAGAAGAAGTAGACGAAGAGAGTAGAGCGAGGAGAAGTGGTGTAGTAGACTTCTTCACGGTTCGAGAATGCGTTCGAGTTCTCACCATCACCAACGATGGGGAACAAAAGACGAAGGAAAATATTTTTTCTGAAATATTTCGCTTAAAAGATATACAATATACATATATGTGAGAAACAAGTAACAATAATTTAGTTCTCATCATATTTCTGTTTTGTCCAATTTAATTTTGTCCAAAATCATTATATTTACAGTTTCAATTGTTTTAATTGATATTTCAAGAATATTTAGGTTATGTAACTGTTCAATCAAATTCGTCAAGAAATTGACAGTTTAAAATTAATTTCATATATAACTCAAAAAGTCAATGTCAAAGCATATTTAGGTTATTGAAACTGTCAATTGATGACGTTTCTGGAAACTGTCAAAATATAGATTTATGAAACGTTTCGCAAAAATAAAATAGAAAATGACAAGAGTATTGTCAAGAATATTCTAACATTTGTTAAATTGTACAGGGAAATTTTACCTGCATAAGATTATTTTTTTTTTGCTTAGTAATGCTATACGACCATCTTCCAAGAAACACATAACTCAGAAATACATTGTTTCCTTGACGAATTCATTTTTTTTTTGTAAAATCTGTATAAATTCATTAAATATTTGTGTTCTCACCATCACCAACGATGGGGAACAAAAGACGAAGGAAAATATTTTTTCTGAAATATTTCGCTTAAAAGATATACAATATATATATATGTGAGAAACAAGTAACAATAATTTAGTTCTCATCATATTTTTGTTTTGTCCAATGTAAAATCATTATGTTTACAGTTTCAATTGTTTTAATTGATATTTCAAGAATATTGAGGTTATGGAACTGTCCAATCAAATTCGTCAAAAAATTGACAGTTTAAAATTAATTTCATATATAACTCAAAAAGTCAATGTCAAAGCATATTTAGGTTATTGAAACTGTCAATTGATGACGTTTCTGTAAACTGTCAAAATATAGATTTATGAAACGTTTCGAAAAAAAGAAAATGACAATAGTATTATCAAGAATATTCTAACATTTGTTAAATTGTACAGGGAAATTTTACCTGCATAAGATTATTTTTTTTTTTGCTTAGTAATGCTATACGACCATCTTCCAAGAAACACATAACTCAGAAATACGTTGTTTCATTTACGAATTCATATTTTTTTTTTTGTAAAATCTGTATAAATTCATTAAATATTTCTGGAATTTATAAAACTGCGACTTTCACCAGGAAATATACAGATTTTATTCGATAATCAAATAATAATTGTAAACATGTATTTGATAAGATGAAATTTAAGTTTGTTGACTATTGTTGTTAGCAGCTGGGTAATAAACAGCTGATAGACCATTGGGTGTGTCAGCTGTTGTCGTCGTCCTTGCAGATGTTACCGAAAATGCGTTACCTGCATTATCTAATTCCCAGTTTTCTCCGGCAAGTCGAGAGAGTTTCATTTATGAAGGTACATTTCCTAAATAGAGGTAAAGTTTACTGGGAAGAAGAGATAGTGCAATTGTGAGAAGATGAAAACTGAGAAGGCGGTTTCCATGGAAGCAAAAAACAAATGTTTTCTCCTTTATTATTTGGCTCATTTTACGAACGGGGATGGTCTAGGTGCGTTATTGATCCGATGGTTTAGATTCGTAAGAGAGAGGGCGCGCGCGCGTTTGCCTAGGGTGTCGGTCACGACACAGCACACTACGTCCTTCTTGCCCATAAATGGCGACGAACGGCGAAGCAAGAAAGAAAGAAAAGTGTTGTCGTTTTTCACTTTGTTTCGTCGTCGTCGCTCATTCATTTATTTATGCTCTCTCTCTCTCTCTCTGTCTCTCGTCCATCCGGACACCCATGAACCCCCTTCTTGTCCCCGCTACCGTTTCTGACGCCGCTCTCCATCGAATGTGGGTTGACGAACATATGGTCAAACGCGCGCTCGGTCTGACTCTCGCATATGGCACGCACGAACCCCCTGAACACCAGGAAAACCCTTAGAAACGGCTCCGGTTTCTATGGCAACATGGATAATCCGCGAGAAACCGTCGAAACGAGGCGGCCGCGATACGAAAGTCCATCTCTAAAACAATGCGCTCACTATAATTAGCGAATCGAAAGATGTATGAAATGTAGAGCAACAGGTCTCTCCTCTCTCTCTCTCTGTTTCAAACCGACTACGTCTTTTCCCAGATCACGTTAATCAATACATCATCATTTCTATGGCAACTGCAGAACAAATCTACTATTCACCACTACTCGAAGAAGAAAAAAAATAAACAGACATTTCAACAGTTCTTTCCGCTTCTATTTTTTGTTAATTGATGCACGTACAATATATGTAAATTGAATTCGAACGCGTGCACCTTTTATACAATCTACGATAAAGTATCGAAAACCAGGGAAAAACAATAAACGCGTTATCGGAATTTCGAAATTTGTATGAAATTACGACAATTCCAATTATCTGATTCATTCGAAAAATAATTC